TGTCTGACGCGTCTGCCTCCGCGACCCGAAAGGAGAAGCGGCGATGGAAGATGAAGATGAAGAAGATAATGAGTAAAACACATAGAAAACAGATCTACCGATCTACAACTGCGACATTAAAGTGAAGTCAAAATATGCTATAGGAAGGAGCTGCAGAAAGGAACGATAAGCAATGTCGAATAATGCTGGAGTCTTACATATTTCTGCAATTAAGTGGGCAGTATATTTCTACAGAGTAGCGCTCTAGGATATGGCTTTATGTGCAGCAAAATTAGTTATAATTTATCTCTTTATCTCAGGAATTTGGATATGCTGTGAGTCTAGAGTTGTCCTTGAAAATAGAGAAACTATAACAGAGTTGCCGAAAAATTTACCGCGATGTGTCCAACAACGTATAACGTCCTGTGGAAGGAGACATATGCTGCATAATATTATCTCAAAGTCGCATTAGTCATTAAACTGCTTAAGAGTCCAAAAATATCAAAATTATTTAACAACTAATTAAAGTACGGTAGTAAAATTATGAATAATTCCACTTGAACGTCAAATTGAACAACGCCCATTTACAATAAGACAGGACATAAGGAATACCAGCATGTTAAATACTGTTCGGCATGAGCGCGAAGTAAAAGTATGAGACAAAATTACGCCAGACTCTTTCAGAGCATGTAAACAGCCTCATTCCCGTTTTAAATATTTCCAATTTACTGCTCATGCTGGATGTCACTCACGTTTTGAAATAATATCGCATCATATTCCTACAAATACAAGAAAATATTAACGATTGAGAGGTACCAGGTGGCCATTACAAAAAACAGCAAACGGCGAAAGAACCAGAAGCGAACAAGAAAGACGTAAATTACTGGTCGAATGTGTCACGTCACTTTGCTACCGCAAGTAAAATCATTAAGAACGTGATAAGAAAATTTGGAAATCTGAAATGAGTAGTAACGATTAGACTATCAAGTTTAAAGTCATGAATATGATCAGCAAGAAGTGGTGTCGAAATTGAAATATCAAGTCTATGTAAGGAGGCTAGCTATGTGATAAACATTCGTACGCTGACCAAGATAGAGAATAAAACGAAACTCTTCGATAATCAAGTGATCACATCCGTAATGTTGTGATGTATAACGCTCTCAACGAAGAATCGACAAAGCATGTGTAATTTCAGCAATGGGTCCAAAATCGAAAATATGTTATGCCGCACTTAATATAATCATTAAGGTGGAAACTGCAGTCAAAATGCTCTTGGATCGGTATGCGACGTTTTAAAGTTGTTTCATTGTGTTCATAAAAAAGTGTTTCCTTCTCTCATTAAGACACGATATCAACTAGAGACAAACGGATTCCGGTAAACCAGAAGAGACAGTACAAATATGAAGAGCTGTGGCAAAAAATGCACGCAACTTTACTGCGGTGGTTGACAGTTTCTCAGTGATGCTGTTGCTGAGACTGCAATTATGGTATTTCATTACTAAAATAGCATTAATTTTTCATAGCATAAATTTTTGGTCTGGTTCAATATGTGAACAATCGTATATGAAAGAAACAGCGCCTCTTTAAATATGCCATAAAAATGCTAATTATGCACAATTTTGCTTTCGGTGAAAGCAGTCTGATGTCGATGCAATGATGATGAACGTTTCCTTCGAATGTTAACAAGAATAGAAAATATTAAAAATATTAATCAAAATTAACTACATCAAGAGACGAGAAAAGAGAATAAACTTACGAACTGGAGAAACGTGATCGATTTCGCCATCTAAAAGTGAAGGACGAAACGCCGGCCGCGAGAGACTTCGACTTTTCATTACATCGGTGTTTCCCGAAGAATTTTCTTCCTTTTCTTTCAGACGCAGCAATCCCGCTTTGTGAGCGGTTTTGTAAAATTTTTGCTTCGCCACTCCCCTGAAAACAGCTTTATAACGAAGAGCAAATCACAAAAGACAAGTGAATAATTTTTTTCCCTCAGTGCAATACATCAGCAAGAGAAATTGTTGAAATTTTAGTAAACAGATATTTTGGCGGAGGAATTGCTTTGTGACGAATGAAGAAAAGGCGAAAATTTTGACGATAAATGTCCTAGCAGACAGCAAATCTATTTATGTGTATTACCGTAACGCCTCGGTGACGCTTTAAGTTCACCGACTATAATAAAATCAGATTACACTTTCTTCTTGTAAAACGTCTAAACACTGCAGCAAAGAGAACGTGGTCTTAGCAAATTTCACACTACTCTTTTAAAATGCATAAAGTTCCAATTCGTCGAACAGAGAAGCAAATACAAGCTCTGTTTCGAAACAACAAAACAAAATAAATCTACAGAGAACACTACAGGCATAACTGTGAAGGGTCGGATGGAATTTCTGAGAAAAACAAATAGATATTCAACTACCTGACCATTCAGACTGCTTTAATGATGACAACAGTAACGTGACCAAATAAACCCACCGATACTGACTTGCCATTTTTACACAAGTTTGATTCGAATCAATATCGGAAATAGTAGTGGTGGTTTTGCTGGTCCCTGCAACGAAAGATGCTGGCGTCAAGCGCTTGTGCTTATTTTTCGGAAAAGTAAGACAACTTAGAAGAAATCGTTAACCGAGTAATGTCATCAACAGTTTTGACTTGGTTGCTGACGGAGGACTATCAGTCCTAGAAGGAGAAATTCAAACAGTGAATCTCTGAGTTCAGAGAGCAGAAGTAAAAGAGCTGTAATTCTAGCACGCACTAAAATTTATTGCAGATCAATACCACCTCTCCTCTGTAGGACGCTAAGAAATCCAGAGGAGCAGAAACGTCGCATTATACAAATATGCAGTCGCAGCGCTCTAGCCGTTGAGGTGTGTTATTGTTATATAACGGATTACATCTTACATCGACGCTGCTGTATGCTTATGACAGACATTTCGCCTAAGAAAATAAATTTGTTACAAACTTCAAAATTTGCCAATCGGTTAGTTTGTATTACTCATCTCAGAACATCGCGTCGTCAGCACTTTAAGAGAGTTCCAGCATGTACCTTCGTTTATTCGCCATCGCAGCTGTTGCCATTTCGTTGACCCACGTGAAACTTAGTGGCATGATACATATATGACCCAAAAGTACGGGTAAGATATTGATAAAATGAAAAAGCATATAGGAAAAGACTACTGCGTTAGACATGGGTAAAAATAAACTGGAACACATGAAAGTCATTCACCACAATAATGACAAATAAATATTATAATACACAATAAAAAGAACGAGATGAGCATAACGATGCATTTATGGGACTGTTCATCGCGTATACTGAGAATATTCGATGATATATTTACGTCTTATGAGCACTGACCAAACCATCTGCTTTCAAGAAGCAAGATCACAAATCAAGGATTAAGTCGAAAAAATCCAGTGACGTAAAATATGTAACATGCAAACTGTCATTCACTTCCCAAAAATGGTCAAAACCACAAAATGCGGTGAAAAATCTGTCAAAATTTGTAATCGGGTTGTCGTCCTAACAAGGGATGACACTTGCTACGGTTGAAAACAAAATGAGGGAATGAAAGCAAAGATGCGCTAGAGATACTTTGGGCGGTCTCGCATTTGTCCAGCAACCAGACTGTTTATCAGTGCGGTACAAGCGCCACCTGAAGTGTGCTGAACAGCCAAATACAACCGAAGACCACGCCAATTAAGACTGGAGGTAAAACAACATACAATATCAGGACAAATGTCATCGCAAAGCAAAGGATAATTATTATACAATAAGGTAATGTAATACACTAATTAGTAGTATGTCATGTAGTACAATATGGAAATTCAGCAAAATACTCGCCAACATAATGCAATTCTACCTACCCGTTTTAGCATTTACCGTAAAGTGTTACATCTTCTCTACACAGCAGGTGACAGATTCCTGCCTTAGGCATAACCGCTAATATTCACTATTTTGTAAATCAGGACAATGCGACATACTGCTATCGCATCTGACCTATTGAAAAGAAATATCGAGAAATTCAATGAATAAACCATTCATATTCATCGCTCGATAATGAAGTCAGGTACCGGACATAGCAGCAATAGGAAAATCTACCAAGTTTACGGTCTCAAACTAATCAGTTCAGCTCGATGCATTGTATTCCACGTGATTGACACACATGAACAGTGGTCTTGACGAAGCTTTCGTTCATTCGGTGGCTTGGCGAGGAGAGACCGTTTAATAATTCTTCTCAATGGCGTTCTTTTTAAGTGTGCAGATTACCGCAACTGTAATCTATTAAAATGAATAAGTAACAATTCATTAAAGAAGGCATAGCAGATGCAGTGCTATGAAACACGAATGAGACAGATAAAACATTTCTGATGTTAAGGTCTTGCAAATACATCTTGTCGCGACAAACCAAATGCAAGGATATTTGACCATCCTTTGGATACTTAATACAGAATCAGTTACACGTTATCATGAAACAATTTATGTCTAATTAATCGTCAGCTAGTTACCCAATGGTCATATGCTTCGGTTGTCTGACTAACTTGTCGGTCGTCGCACAGAGAGCCGTGTTTGTACTCAACGTAAAAATATCCATAATATTTTCCAACCAGCGAAGTTTATCCAGAGACTGTTGGAATGTATGCACCTTCTCGGGACTGACTTCTTCGTCAAACGCCACCTTCATAAGCTAAAAACATTCTGTCAACAATTCTGAAGGCCATTTTGCTCATTCATAAACAGTCACAACATACTGGACGGCGAGAGTATTCGGTCATACCGAAAAGCCTTAGGCTCCCATAATTATGACTGACGGAGAATGACATGATCAGCCGTGACACAAGAGTCCACATTTCCTCTTAAATTTCCGTATGGTGCAAAACAACTTGCAAATCATACGGAATCTAGCGACTTATTAATTTATTCATCTTTATAACTAGCAATTCCTTTAAGGTTGCGGGACAGCTGCTTCGAGAACATAAGGTACAGCTTGAAAACGACTGCATTACCGTCATCAGTTCATTTTCAACCCGCAAAACTTACAATACGTCATAACATACCGCGAAAATACGCTTGTATCTGTATATGCATCCATTCATCTCTAGAAAACAGCCACCGTTTTTTGGGAACAACGATGTGACGTGTTGGCACACTAAGAGATCTGCTTCCAACTCTGAATGTGCCAGATTCGATTACACTCGAGAGCAATTTTTGCTTTATTCATGAATTTCTTTGAGAAAGGAATATGTCACATTTTGTTTCAGACAGGAGTTGCTCAACCGGAAGATCGCCGAATTCAGAACCGATAGATATCGGATTCAAGTCCCGGTCAACATTCGTCGTTCTTCTTTCTGGGGTTGAGAAGTGAGTATCTCTGTGATGGGGGAGGAAACAGGACAACACATCCATTGCTGTACACCATACGTTTAAAATAAGGCACTTCTGGCTGATAACATAGAAACGGAGATCATCGCCGAACCATAACCTTTATGAAAATAAAGGCGCAAAAGTGGACGTCATTAGAGTGAACAAAGAGCGACATTCCAACAGTGACAAACATTCGTTTCTTCAGCTGATAAAAGATACTTAAAAACAGTCAATATATGGCGAAAGGCTATTCCACAGCTTGGTCAAGAGAGGGCGCTCTAAGAAATGCAGTGTTCCTCGTTCATACGGTTATTTTACACTCGCCTTCGGTGAACGTCAAAAGGTAATTTTCGGATTCTTCACCACCGATTTCATCCCCACGTTAAAGATCGCTTTAGCGAGTAACATTCATATCGCTCGATAATTCCCTCGTTGTCTTCAAAATGTCAACCGTATGCATCAAAATAAAGGAAATATCATATGCGCGACCTCCACTGACGATAGTGAAATAGTGCAATGAATCTTTCGGTCATGAAAAGTATATTTATTCCCTTACAATGCCTACCACAGCTGTAAACAAATCAGTAATGAAGAATCACAGACCGCACTGTCTGGCTATGAACTGAATCGAACGAGTCGCTCAAAAATGCAGCACGGCAGTGAACTACGGCATTTTAAAGTATATGCATCTGCATTGGTCCATTATTAATCTCAGCATGAACTACAGTCCACACAGGAAAATATACTCGAAAGTCGGTTTTATCCATTCTCAACGAATGATCGATAGCCTTATTCAGTCGTTCCAGCGTTTCCTGCTGAACACAATGACACACAGGCAGTTTAAAAAGCTAATTAATTGCTTGAACGTCAAGCACGAAGTCTGAAAGTTTAATGCTTGAATGGAGTCACAAAGGAATCCCATTTTTCAGTATGTATAAAAATGCACGAATATGACAGTTAATGGTTGAGTACAGCGAATAAATAACAGTACAGCTTTACACTGAGCAAAAGTCAAATAGCACGACGACCATGCCTTCTTCGATGTCGAACGCTGCACGAACAACGTTCCCCTTTCTCACACCTTCCTGAAATTTTGTGCGGAAAATTTCGAGGCAGACCTGTTGAGTATTCAGAAACCTTCGTGGGAATAATGCAGCCTACCAATCATCGGTTGATGAACAGGTGATACGGTATTACACATATCCCGACAAAGAAAACAGCAAAATAAACTAACCCACGGATAACAAAGTAACGATAAACTGAAACAAAGTATGTACAAAAATGTACAAGCATGCTTTGAGCTGAACCACAAGAGATTGGGGCGTTCAAAGGACAAAGTAAATCAAAGCAATAATCAGTAAAGACAGTGGAAACGGAGAACGGACTACAACACCTACCCCTACTGATCACTCAGCGAACCAAGCACGACATTCTGTGAAGCATCTACTAGTAGTGCTGCTTGACTAGACGCAGGCTGTGACTGCAATACGCATCGGCCAAATGCATAGCAGTGCGTGGTGAGCGTGCGAGAAGCCGAGGAATTTGTTATAATGTAAGAGTTTGATAACTAATTCGTACCTGGGCAGCTACAGATTTCTATATTTCTACGATATATATATATCGTAACTGTTTAGTTACGTTGCCTACAGATGCTGTTATTGTTTATGTTGATTTTTAATAGCAGCTTAGAAAAGTTTTATAACAACCACGTAAAAATGCCACGTATATATATATATAATCCTTTGGTAAGTCACAAACGGGAAGAGCACGCATAAAATGTTCTTTAATTAGAG